CATTTTAGATATATTGCTCTGTAACGACATTAGGCAGCTTTTTGAATCAGTAAATAAAACTGATTTAGGAATTTTATGGGAAAAAATGTAGGATATAGCCTCATATATGGCTACAGCTTCCCCTGAAAAAAACAGAAGCCTGAGGAGGGCATCTATAGTTAAGGACAATTTTATATTTGGGAATCCAGACTGCAGAACCGACACATTTGAATGAAGACAATTTGGAAGCATCAGTGAAAATATATAGCCAATCAGGCCATTTTTTTGCCACTAGGTTATAGAAAGTTCTGCTTGCAGTTGGAGAATTTTTATTAATGTTTAAATTCAGAGTGATTTTAGGATTTAGTAATATAGCATCATAGCTGGTTTCAAAATAGGGTAGAATTGGGGATGTAACACAAGGATACTCAATATTTTTTAATCTATTAAGAGATTTAAGAATAGGGGGCCAGCTTTTATTAGACCAATAGGAGTTGTTTACAACTAATAGTAGCAAGGATTCTAGTTTACGATGTAAGGGGTGAGATGATTGTTGTAGAGTTTTTGAGATAAATCTATCAGCTAGAAACTGTCTTCGTAAAGAGAGAGGGGGATCAACACATTCTACTTGTAAGGCATTTTTAGGAGTTGATTTCATTGCGCCTGTGATAACACGTAAACATTTTGTTTGGATAGCTTCAAGCCTACTAAGGGCCGATTTGTTGCAGGGCTCCAGAAGAAAAGAACCATAGTCGAAGTGACTACGGATGATGGCATTGTATAGGATTTTTAACACATGGGGTGAGAACCCCACCATACGCCAGAGGGAGATCTAAGAATGTTAACACCTTTTTCACATTTGTCACTGATGTAATTAAAGTGAGCAGTACCGGTCATATGACAATCTAAGTAAATACCTAAAAATTTTACTTTGTTAACAACTGGAATAGATTCACCATTATATGAGATATCAATAGTAGGGATAACACGTTTTTTACTAAATGTTATTATTTTGCTTTTAGAAGGTGAAAGAGAGAGGCCATGGTCAGTAAGCCATTGATTAAGATAATATAATCCTCCGTTAAGATGATGGGAGGCCGTTAGAATATCAGGAGCCGTTACATAGATAGCAAGATCATCTGCATATTGTAATATGTCACAGAAAGACGAAATTGAATGTTCCAGGTCATATGTGTAAATATTGTAAAGAATAGGGCTTAAAACTGAGCCCTGTGGTAGACCCTTCCAAATTGTTCTGGGCGAGCTTAAGATTCCTTTATTGCGAATTTTGATAGATCCTCCCATGAACAGATTGTAAATGAAGTGAATAGTCTTCGCAGGGATGTTTAGATGGAGCATTTTCTGCCTGAGCACCGGAAGGAGAATACTGTCATAGGCAGATTATATATCAAGGAAACAACACACCAAGTATTCATTTTTAGAAAAAGCCAACCTAATATCTGTAGTTAGGATACTCAAACTATCTAATGTGCTTTTCCCTTTTCGAAAACCAAATTGACTTTTTGCTAGGATGTTATTATGTTCCGAAAACCATTCAAGTCTGTTTTTAATTAAATGTTCTAAAATTTTACAAAAAGTAGATGAAAGAGCAATTGGGCGGTATGAAGAAGCTTCTTTGGGATCTTTTCCGGGTTTAATGATAGGTATAACAATTTGGTTTGACCAAGACAGAGGAATATTAGAAGATATGTAGATATTGTTCAGAATTTGGAGAAGAATTAATTTTCCCTTAAGACTTAATTTACATAAACATGCATAGGGTATGCCATCTTCTCCTGGAGCAGATAACACATACTGTAGTTCAGACAATGAGAAGATTATCTCATTATTGTTGATGCTAGACGGGACTGGAATCGGTGGACATATTGCATTTTCATTAGGAACAAAAGGAGGAGCTAGCATATCAGAGAAGACTTCTAACCATGATAGAGAGTTATCAGAAATGTTGCTATCAGAAGTAAGAGATCCACGAATTTTTTTTATATTTTTACAAACTATTGTTACTGGTGTATTAGGGGACAAGGATTCACAAATTTTTTTTCCATCCACTTTTTTTCTTTTTGGAAAGAAGTCTCCTTGTTTGAGCAGAGGTTTTTTGAAATAGTATAAAATTATCGGTTGTCATACAGTGATTGTAAAGTTTTTCTGCAGCTTTTCTCCTTTTAATCATAGTGGTGCATTCAGCATCCCACCATGGAGGGGAGGCAAGGTTCTTGCTGTAGGGTTTTTGATTGGGATAAATAAGTCAGCTGCTTCAGTTATATATTGTACCAATAAAGAGTAAGAAGTTATTGGGTTGGTTGAGGAGTCAACCTGCATTTGGGTAAATTTAGAATCTAAGAATTTAGTGAAATTAGTCCAATCTGCATTTTGGAGCTTATATTTAAGGAGGGGCGTAGTGGAGGGAAAAGGAATAACCGCATAGGGTTTGGTAATAAGAATGGGAAAGTGATCACTTCCATATGTTTGATTGAGAGTTTTCCAAGAAAGCTGAGGGGCTAGACTAGAAGAGCAAGCTGTTAGGTCGACAGCAGACCTAGGGTCTAGTCCTGGATATACTCTATGAGTAGGAGAACCATTGTTAATGATGCAAGCATTGATATCTTCAAATATTTGAATAAGTTCTGAAGAGAATACATCACAAAAATGTGACCCCCAAGATACATTGATGTGAATTAAAATCACCGGTAATAATAAAAGGGGGAGGTAACAAAGAAAAGAGAGAGGATAGTTCTTGAATTAAGTGAGTATTTGGATGAGGGATATATATTGAAATAATGTTGATTCCTGCAATTTTTGCAGCTACAGCATTGATGTTTTGGCTATGAGGAGGGAGTGTAATTTGAGAAAAAAGGTAGCGATTTTTTTATGAGTAAGCAACAACCACCATAACCATCATTTCTATCTTCACGGAGGCAGGTAAAGCCTTGCAAGCGAAATTTGGAGCCAGGAAGGAACCATGTTTCAGAAATAGAAACAACCGAGATTGAATGTTTATTTATTAGGAAGATGAGTTCTGATTTTTTAGGGTGCAAGCTTCTACAGTTCCACTGTAGAAGATGGAGATCTTTTGTTTGAGTCATTTATATTATCTATTAAACTAGCGAGATTAAAAAAAAATTTCTGCAACATTGTTCGGTAGTGAGTCTGACATTTTCAAAATTAAATTATTGAGGAGAGAAATTAGGCATTCAACAAGATTTTCATTTGGAGATATTTGATTGTGTGTATTGGATAATGCGCATCCATTTGGAGTAGAGGATGGGCAGTCTGCAACTATTCTTTGATGGGCTTGTTGGTCATATCCCTTGGGGATTCTAGGGATGGGGCGGGGAGATTGGAAAACGGTTTTTCTATATGCCTGGGACATGATGGGGAGGTTGAAGGTGGTAGTAGAAGTAGGTGAAGGCTGAGTAGAGGCCACTTCAGAATATGGTTTTTGAAGATTGTTCAAACGAATAGATGGGATTTTGGCTGACGCTTCTATATAGGATACATTTTGTTCCGACATCATAACTTTGATAGATTTCTGTCTATGGTGTTCGGCATTTTTGTATATAAGTGATTTTTGGAGCATAACAGACAAGTGGCTTCGCTTTCAGGAACAGAACAACTTGCTTCAGTATGTTCTTGGGCACAACGGAAGCAGCGTGGTTTGGAGCGGCATTGATCAGCTACGTGACCAAATCGACAACACTGTTTGCACTGGATGGTGGGAAGTTGATAAGTTTCAACAATAAGGGATGTGAAGAATGCATATACGTATTTGGGGAGTATCTGGCCTTCAAATGTCAAAACAATAGATTGAGTAGGAACCCATATAGGGGATGATGACCCTTCAGTAAAAGTTTTTCTCTGAAGACGGCGAGCTTTTAGGATTTTACCACAACCAGGGGGAAGCTCAATAGCTTCTGCAAGTTCTTCCATTGACCAATCCACAGGGACACCGTGGATGACATCCATTCGAGAAACATTATAAGATGGAATAGTTGCAATCAATTTTTCTTTTGCGAGCAATGAATTATTAAGGAATTTGTTAGCCTCATCTGCTGAGCAGAATTCAATAGAGATGCGATTTCTACCAACACTTTTGACTCCTCCTTTTTTAATGTTTCCTATATTATTTTTAGACAAGCATAAACCTATTTTAATAGGTCGAAGTGATAGCCCTAATCTAGGGTCTGACGAAGACTGGGAGATGTGGACAATGAAAGGGCCTTGATCATTTGGCCCATACATTCTAAGATTTTGTTCTAGGCAGGGATGTTTATGTATAGTATTTATTGATGCTGTTAAATCAACTACATCTTTTTATATAATATTGGATCATATGTTCGAGTCTCAGCATGTCTTTTTTTACCACGATCACAATCATTATTATCACTTAATCCAAAGCACATGTCTACATCGGGAGGGTCAGGGGTTTCTCACGGGGAGACCCCGTTTCGTCACCCATTATTGAGTGTATTGTTCGAAATAACTATATCTTATAAGCGTAATCTACTTACAACAGAGGAATCCACCACAAAATGAAGGAATTAAGGAAAATTAACCAAATACCGAAAAGCACTCACAAGTACGTGTTATATACCATTAGACCGTTCGCCATTTTTTTTCCAAGTAAAAAGTTGTTACGAACGGTGATTCAGCAGAAACGGTTCGATTTACATGTCATAAACAACACCATAGACAATTTGTTCAGTGAACTAAAGACAGTTTTAACGACATTTGATTTTAATAATTGCATCGAAACTTTAAACAAACGAGAAACAGCAAAATACAATGAATGCAAAAATAAACAAATAGAAAAATACCAAAAATTAACGATCAAATCAAATGCCAACCATCTAAGTCAACGTCAGAACGAAACACAACCGTTGACCACAGACGCAAACAATAAACAACGCACGGTCTATAATCTGTCAAAACATACACTGTACGAACCAACAATAAAGGTACATAGCGAAGGGAATGAAGTATATAGTCAGTAATCTATGGGAATGAACTTCACATTAACACCGCGAAAAATCCCGTACGAAGAAATTATCTGTAGTGTTGAGGATTATCTGTTTAAAAATAATATTGGTAAGGAAGATTTGGAGGCTATACGTCAAGATATTTCGTCCTTGTTACGTCGTAGTTCAGTGCCGAAACCAAATCTTCCTAAAGACGAATTTACAGCGTTGATTAACTTACGGAACAGACCAGAGCTAACGATTCTCCGCGCGGATAAAGTAAATGCTACGGTAATAATGGACACGTCAGAGTATAATTTTAAAATACTACAGCTTTTATCGGACGAAAGTACATACAAAAGGTCAAAACAGACCCCACAACTAACACGCTTAAAGCAACTAGCGATTTAATAAAGAAATACTCCGAAAAATTAAATCTCGACGTGAATTCGCTAATACCATCATGTACCAAACCACCGAGGTTGTATGGGTTACCGAAGATAAACAAACCAAACGCTCCACTACATCCTATAGTGAGCCAGATCGATTCACCAACTTATAAGCTGGCACAACTCTTGGCAAAAGTACTGTCACCACTGAGAGGACATACCAGAGCACACACAAAGGATTCATACCATTGTGTTAGTGAGATAAAAGACCTACATCTCGCTGACAATGAAACTATGGTCAGTTTAGATGTTCAGTCACTATTCACATGCCTACCTATTGAAGACTGCATATCAATTGTAACTAGGAAGCTAGAAGATAATAACATACCTGCTGAATATGCAGTATTACTCAAACACTGCCTCACATCTGGCTATCTATTGTGGAAGGAAGAGTTCTACAAGAATGTAGATGGTGTGGCGATGGGCTCACCTGTATCTCCAATAGTCGTCGACATATTCATGGATGACTTCGAGGAGAAAGCCCTTCTTACTGCTCCTGTAAATCCAAGATTCTACAAGCGGTACGTAGACGACACTTTCACAATTTTACCATCTGACAAAGTAACTGCATTTTTAAACCACCTTAACTCTATAAACTCTAAAATACAATTCACAATGGAGTTAGAGGCAAATAATTCTTTAGCTTTCTTAGATGTTTTAGTCATTCGAAATCCTAATAACACAATTGGTCACACTGTGTATAGGGAAAAGACCCATACCAACCGATATTTAAATGGTGAATCTCACCATCATCCTTCACAGTTAGCTACCGTGGGTAAATCTTTGTTTCAGAGAGCATGAGGGATCTGTGACAGAAAACATCTGGCCGCCGAACTTCAGCATGTCAAGCAAGTATTGCAAGTCAACAAGCTTCGGGTCCCACGCCTACGTCACAGTGACCGAGTGAAGCCAGCCACAGTCGAGTGTGTACCTGCTGTACTACCATATGTCAGAGGAATCACAGACAAGGTTGGCTACATCTTGAAGCGAGCTTCCATTAAAACATACTACAAGCCGCCGAAGAAGATTAGTCAATTTTTACCATCCGTCAAGTGTAATATCCCTCTATAAGATGCAGGAGTTTACAAGTTAGATTGTGAATGTGGTCTCTCTTACATAGGTCAAACAAAAAGATCCATAAAAACCCGCGTGAAAGAACATATAGCTGACGTGAAGCACCGACGCTCCGGGAAGTCTGCAGTCTGTGAACATGTTCAAGATCGTCCCCACCATTACATCAGATTTGATAAACCACAAGTCCTCGCAAAAGAACACCGATTCCTACCAAGGATGATATGCGAGGCTATTGAAATTAAAAACATCCTAATTTCAATAGAGAAGATGGTTGGGTGCTGCCATCTGCTTGGGATCCTATAATTAACAAAATTAATCCCAAACCCAAGCATACCACTGCAAGACTTCAAGATACTGTAAGTTCGTTTTGCATAAATCGGACCAAAAATTAATATTCAAAAACTGAAGGTAGCCGGGCTAACAATGAAATTGGGACGTCAAACATCTCAGTCCCCCCCCGTGACTATGGTTGCTGTAAAGCACCCGAAACGTCGGGAATTAAAAATAAGTAAAAGTACTGAAATAAACGCGATAAAATCCGTAAATTTAGTTTTATTCAATGTGTAGTGTTAGCGTAAATTTAAAAAATCATTAAATTCAACTGAATTGTATGACTATCCAAATACGAATTATGTCTTTCTCAGGTAATATTGCGGAACAATTAAATGAAAAACTAAGATCATTGAATTTTTTTCATTAGCACTCGACGAATCCACTGATATTAGTTCCACAGCTCAACTTCTGATATTCATACGAGGTGTTACTCAAGATTTTGAAGTCTTAGAAGAGTTATTAGGAATGTGTTCATTGAAAGGTCAAACCAGAGGAGTTGATATACTCAATGTACTTTTGGATGAGTGTTCAAAAACTGTTTTGGACTTATCAAAATTATCGGGAGTTACAACTGACGGTGCTCCTTCGTGTCAATTCTGGGCTAGTTACTTTGCTGAAAAAGCATCTGCAAGAAAAAAACATAAACGCTGAAGATCTCATGCAGTGGCGAAGCTTCCATTAAAGCCGAAAAGCCGGGCTTGCCTTATTAAACCTGAATCAATCTAATAAAATAACTCGTAAAATGTTTCAAGCTATTTCCAATTTCCCGCGCACTCCACTGTTCGACACATGTCGACCGATGACCTCGTATTGCCTTAGCGATACTGCTGCTGTCATAAAAAATGAGTTTTAATAGAGCTAATAGTTGTCTCCCTCGCTCGCGTGGGCTTTTTACGGGGCTTTCGAGAAGACGATCGCTCTCTTTCTAACCTATGGCAAAATATTCTATAATGAAATATAACTACGATTGTATATATTATAGCAATTAGTATAGAGATTTAAAGCCAGGCTTTTGGGAATAAATTTGTTAAAAGCGGAGGCGCGCGAGCAATACGTTTGCAAGGTCATTTCACGTTACAATGTTTATTTACTCTGTGTGCTTATCTTAAGCGATTTAATATTACGAGTTCAAAATTTATGCTTTTTTAAAGCTTTTTAATGAAAATGGAGGATAATAGTGTTCCTTGTGATGAATTGAAGTGTGTGAAAGTGATAATCGGAGAGGAAATCTTTAAACTTTGTTGAGATAATACATAAGGTTAAGAGTGTATTTCAGACAATACAATTAAAACATTCACCAACATTTTACTGAACGTAATTAAATCTTTCCATAAGAAAGCGAGACGATTCCACTTATCTTATCTTATCACTTATCCATTAGAATGTAAATATTTTTTTTTTAATTTTGTACATAGTTTGTACTTTGATCGTGTTTTACTTTTGTTCATGTATTGTATTGGATGTAAATATTTTTTTTCTTTCGCTTAAACAAACCCAAACGGCTTTCTTCAAAGCCACCGAAGCTATGCAATTGCTGATATGTAATACAATCTATCTAGCAGTGGTATGCCTTCTGTGTGCTTTGTTAAACACGTCCTTGACAGCACTGAATATGAAACTGAAGCGTGGAGACAGATCAAGATTGGTGTATTTTTATAAAACTGCTAAAAACAACAATCTATATTTTTATCAATTTATATCTTGGGCTTGCCCTAGCTTGGAGCTTTAGCTTCGCCACTGATCTCATGCAGTTTCACTGCATTATACACCAAGAAGCCCTCTGTTCTAAAAAATGTATTTCAAAATGTCATGAAGGTGGTAGTTTCGACTGTAAATTTCATAAAATCACGAGGACTCAATCACAGGCAATTCAAACAATTCCTTGATGACATCGAAAGCGAATATGGAGATTTACTGTATTATAAAGAAGTAAGGTGGCTAAGTCGTGGATTGACACTGGAACGATTTCTAAATTTAATAGAAGAAATTGGAATATTTCTGGCGGAAAAGCAAAGGGATGTCCCGGAACTTAAAAATCCTGATTGGTTGTGTGATTTGACTTTATTAGTTGATATTACAAATCATTTGAATGTCTTGAAAACACGGCTTCAAGGCAAAAATCGACTGATATCCCAGCTCTACGCCCATGTATCATCCTTTCAATGCAAGCTGATACTTTTCAGATCGCAATTGAATTCTGGAAATTACAATCATTTGCCGAATTATAAGAAAATGGCTGAAATATTCAACAAAACTGCGATTAATTTCAGTTATGTAGAAAAGCTAGATATTTTGATTCAATCTTTTCAGGACAGATTTTCGGAGTTTAAAAAAGTGAAACCTCTGTTGGACATATTCAGCAATCCTTTCACAATTTCAGTTGAAAATCCGCCAGAGTCAATGCAAGATTTACGCAACAAATTCAACAAAGGAGACTTGCTGAACTTTTACCGCTGCATTGATAAAAATACGTACAAAGAGTTACGCATAAACGCTCTGAAATGTGCCAGCTTAATTGGTTCTACCTATATATGTGAACAAACCTTTTCATTACTAAATAATAATAAAACAAAAAATCGAAACCGCCTTGCAAATGAAAGTTTGGAAGCAGTTTTGCGTGTTGCTACAAGTAAATTTGAGCCAAATATAAAAAAAGATTGTAAGCACTATGCAGTGCCACGCTTCAAATTAATAAATTCTTTTTCAATTTGAATACATTATTATCAATTCTTTATTGTCTTTAATTACCTATACTTCTGGCGGCCCGCCATCAGTTCATAATTACCTATACTCCTGGCGGCCCGCCATCAGTTCATAATTTGCCCGAGTGGCCCCTAGTCTTAATAAGTCTGTGCATCACTCTCTACAGCAACCGAACTATCCCCATACTAAAATTCATGCCATGCCGACGCTCTGTTGCGACGTGAAAGAAGGAGATACTTTTGCAACATATTCTATTTTCCCACGGGAATGAGATGTTTTTCCGCGGAAAAAAGTAACCTATGTCATTCTACAGCCACCGAACTATCCCCATACAAAAAAATCAAGCCATGCCGACGCTCTGTTGCGACGTGAAAGAAGGACAAACAAACACACTTTCGCATTTATAATATTAAGTATGGATAAGGGCGAGCGGACTTGTTGGTAAGCAAATCTGAAATAACACAACGGTTATTATTGAAGTGAAACTTCTTTAGCATCGTTGTGATTTGAAAGTCTATAAAACGAAAAAGCGACAGTAAAAAGAGACAGACACATAAATTCATAACATACTTATACTTTGACAGAGGGGAACGCCTGCTACCGTCCTTCGATCCATCGGTGGCCCGTGTTGTTCTATGACTACCAATGATACAATTTTCAGACAAACATTATACTTACTGACTTGAAATTGGCAGAATTCTATGAACAAAAGCCACAAAGTACAGAAGAAGAAGAAGAAATTATACATACATAAATTTATTTTTATTTATCTATATGTATCTTTATAGTTCAGTAATTTAGTAAATAGTGTAATAAATATATTATTTGTTTTTTTTTGCGTCCTGGGCGGTGTTTTCGGGCGTCCCACCGGCGCCCCCTTGGCCTCGATTACCTATGGCAGTCCTTTCTCGGGAGAGCCATTTTTCCTTCCCCTTTTCCTTTTCAAGTAAGGCGCACCACGAACACTAGGTACGTATTCTGCCGCTCTCCACTCTACTCCGTTATTCCACTGTTTCCTGATCCCTGCGGTAGATCTGGCGTGCACTCCTCTGCCACCGGGGCCCCGCCATCCTTGCATCAACGTCGCGTCCCCAACAGAATCGTGAAGAATATAGCGAGTTTTGCATCGTCATACCAACACTTCCCTTACCCCAAGGCTACATCTCTGCTGCGAAGGGGAAGGGATAGAGAAAATCATTCCCGCCACAGTCCACTAACGAGCATCCTGAGTGGGCTAGGCCACTTGGAGCGGCTATCTCGGGCCGAACCTAAACCTCGGATCAAGCCACGGCTTTTAAGCCCCATGGCATGAAAAGGCCCGGGAATCCGTACGGGTTGGTTATCCTAACGATACTATCGGTAGTGATGTATTTTTGAATAACTTATTATCTATAGATATGTATTTTTGAAACAGAATAGGGTACTACACCAATTTTAAAAAAAAAATTTATGGAAGAGGGGGCAATCGAGCACGTGGCTCACCTAATGTTAAGTGACTACCGCCGCCCATTATCAACCTCAACACCAGGGGAATTGCAGGTGCGTTGCCGGCCCTTTAGAAAGGAGTAAGCTCTTTTCTTGAAGGTCCCTAGGTCGTATCGGTCTGGAAAAATCGCCGGTGGTAAACTATTCCACAGAGAGGTTATATGCGGAAGAAAATTCCTTGTGAAACGTACAGTGGTGGACCGCCAAGCATCCAGACATCCAGATAGTGTGGAAGGTATCGGAACGTTTGCCGCGTAGTGCGTTCAAAGAATTTGGTGGCTGGGATTAATCCAAACAATTACTCAGAGCACTCCCCGTAGTATATGCGAAAGAAAATGCAAAGAGATGCAACATCTCTTCGCAGCGCCAGTAAATCGAGCCGATCAGAAAGCACTCGGTCGTCAACGATTCGAGCCGCTCTGCGCTGGATGCGGTCAAGTGGAAGGAGCTGGTACTGGGGAGCTCAAGCCCAAAGATGGGAACAGTATTCCATGTGCATGTGCCCGGCATGAAATACTGTCCCGCTCTGTTGAGCACACCAAGCTTTTAGAGGCTAATTTGGCTTTCTCTTCCAAGTGACCAACGAAACTGCACGTCACTAGATATGTTGACACCAAGGATTCCTATACTGGCTGAGGCAACAAGGAAGGGCCTTGAAACTGAGGGGATACGACAAAGAGATTCTTTTTAGCAGTTAACGCGGAAACTTGTGTCTTCTGAGGGTTGAACTAGACTAGATTTAGTCGCCCCCAATCCGAGACTTTGCTTAACAAAGACTCGACTTCAGACATAAGTTTGTCCCGGTACTTGGAGACGTTTTCCCGAGAAATATTGGCACGGCCGGTGTAAAGAACATCACCAGTGCTGTCATCTGCATAGCAATGAATGTCAACATATCATTGATATGCAGAAGCAACAGTGTTGGCGATAGCACGCAACCTTGTGGAACACCAGCATTAATAATTAAATAGGCTTGTAGTCGGAGCTCACACCGTCTGCAACGACCTTGATGCTCCGATCTGCAAGAAATCTGGTGATCCAATTGCACAATTTCTTGGGAAGCCCATAGGAAGGGAGCTTCGAAAGAAGCGCTTTGTGCCAAACCCGATTGAAGGCTTTCGCAATGTCCAAACTAACGGCCGGCGTGATCCTCAAGGTACCTCATGAGCTGGCAGTTTATAATGTACTCCATTGTTTTGTAGAACAGGGACGTGATGGCGATAAGCCTGTAGTTGGACGAGTCTGAGCGGTCGCCTTTTTCAAGGGATCGGGTGGACGAAAGCGTCTTCCATGATTTTGGGACTACGCCTAAGGAGTAGGAGAATCGGAAAAGATGCGTTAAAACCGGTGCCAACTCTGAAGCACACGTCCTCAGCACAATTGGAGGGATTCCGTCAGGCCCACTCGACTTGTGGATGTCTAGAAAGAGGAGTGCTTTGCGAACCGAGTGCTGTGTGAAATTC